CTACCACTGAGCCACCTTCCCAGCCCCCTCCCTGTTTGTTTCTAAAAGAAATAAGTTCCACATCCCCATCTTGTAGTTCAATTTATAAATGCAATGAAATAAGCACAAGGCTTCCTTTTTTTTCTTCAATGAAAGTTTGATTAATTCAAATTGGGAAATAAAAAGTAAACTCCTTGCCACAATAAGTACCGTTTACAAGTTAGTTCAATTTGCTTCCACAGTTTCAGCTATGCTGAAACATTAGAGAGGTCTGATTTTCCTAAGGTACTTAAATATCTCACGCCTGCAATCCTAGCTACTCAAGAAGCTGAAGCCGGGCACTGCTGGCTCATGCCTGTCATCCTAGCTACTCAGGAGGCTGAGATCTGAGGATCAGGGTTCAAAGCCAGCCCGGGCAGGAAAGTCTGTGAGACTCTTATCTCCAATAAACCACTAGAAAACCGAAGTGGTGTTGTGGTTCACGTGGTAGAGCACTCTCCTTGAGCTGAAGAGCTGAAGGACAGCGCCCATTGAGAGTATGAGGCCCCAAGTACAAGCCCCTGGATTTTTCTTTCTCTCTCTCTGTCAAGGCTGACACTCACCATTGAAACCATTTCAGCAAAGCTTTTCATCTACCGTGATGAGTCCGCACAAAGATCCAGCTTCATCTCCATCTCAGCCCAGCTCTGCCCCACACTGCTCTAATCCAGGAAAGACCAGAGCAGAGCAGGCAATGTCCAATATCTCCCTCCCCACCAAATGAGGCACAGGTTCCTCCACATTTGGCTTGCCCTCCAAGATAAAGCAAACGCCGAGCCTCCCGAGGTCCCTTTCCGTCTCTCTTCCTTGAAGTCTGACTGTAAAACATCACCTTTTGCGGAGATCTAGAGTCGGGGCTGGGAGGCTGGAGGCCGTCTGCCTTTGATTGGCTGTGTGACCTTGAACAAACGCACTGTCCTTCCCTGTAGCATCCTTTCTTCTGAATGAAGTCGGATTCCTAGGTTTTCAGAGCTTACTTGAAAAGTCTGTGGTCAAAACTACCCTGCAGATCAGAGCCTCACAGACTTTCCTGCCTGGGCTGACTTTGAACCACAATCCTTAAGATCTCAACCTCTTGCGTAGCCAGGATGACAGGCGTGAGCCACTGGTGCTGGCCACTGGTGTTTTGGTTTTGTTTTGTTTTTCTGGCTTAGCTATACAATCTTATCTGTACAAATGTTCTAGAACCTTCTGCCCTTGGGCACTGGAGAGGATGTTTGGGCATTGCAGGAAGCCAGATTTTTATCTCCAGTTCACTATCAAAGAAAGCCAAAAGTGGAGCTGTGGCTCAAGTGGTAAAGTGCCAGCCTGGAGTGAAAAGAAGAAGAAGAAAAAAACCTCAAGAATTGCACCCAGGCTCTGAGTTTAAGCCCCAGCATGGGCAGATCTCTGCCTCTTGAGTAGCTGGGATTACAAGCGTGAACCACAGTGCTCAGCCAGCACCTGCTATTCTTGAGCCCCATGATTTCCATAGGAGTCAGCTGTGTGGCCTCCCTGGGGAAGTGGCGGGCCCCCGGGCTGTACCAGGAGCCTCTGCCGATCTCTGTCCCTTGCAGGTTGCAAGGGAAGTGCATTATTTTTCCATTAACAATTCATTCTGGGATGTGCAGCCTTCAGAGATGCAATTAGCCACGTTATTCCTCGCCATTAGCGGTCCCTGGAGTTTGCTGGAATGTCTTGTTCCTTTTCCTCTCCATTTCCCCGCTTCTTCCATCTTTGTTCTGTTCCCCTCCCCCGTCACCACCACACCCCGCTGTGGGAATAAAACCTGGAGGAGCAGGTGGAGCGCTGTGGCTCACGCCTGTCATCCCATCTACTCAGGAGGCTGAGATCTGAGGATCGAGGTTTGAAGTCAGCCCGACCAGGAAAGTCCATGTAACTCTTATCTCCAATGAACCAGCGAAAAGCCAGAAGAAGAGCTATGGCTTAAATGGCAGAGCACTAGCCTTGAGCACAAAAGCTCAGAGATAGTGCCCAGGCCTGACTTCAAGCCTCAGTCCTGTCCTGCACACACACACACACACACACACACACACACACACACACACACATGTGTTGTGGAATAAAGGCACATAAAGCAGTCTCTAGCCCCAGAAGCCACCATTCAAATGCTCCATTGGAATCAATGAAAGAGACTTAGCAACATGATAATCCCCAGCCAGATACTGGTAAAATCCTAGCTACTTGGGAGGCTAAGATCAGGAGGATTGAGATTTGAGGCCAACTCAAGCCAAAAAGGGAAGAAAAAAAACAACTCTACCACCCCCCTTCTCAGTTCATAGCTGGGTTAAGCAGAGCACTGAGGTCAGCTCAAACTGATGGGGGAGGTTTAGAAGGACCGAGGTTCCAGCCTGGGCAGGAAAAGCCCACGAGACCCCATCTCTATGGAGAGAAGGTGAGTGGGGTAGTGCCTATAATCTCTGCCATGATGCGAAGCTCACAGTAAGTGGATAAAGACTCAAGTATATGCACCCAGGCACGCACCCTGACAGGAACTATGACTATCTCAAAAAGTAATAAGCAAAAAAAAACATGGCCAGAGGTGTGGCTAGGGTGGTTGAGCACCAGCCTTGTGAGTGTGAGGCCTTCGATTCAAACCCCATTTCCACCCCCAAGGAAAGAAACTTCCCCGGCCTCCAGCCTAGACAGGCCAGTCCCAGACTTTGAAAGGGGGCCTGGGCACTGTCCCAGAGCTTTACCACTCAAAGCTGGTGCTCTACCTCTTGAGCCACAGCTCCACTTCTGGCTTTTTTATTTTTGCTGGTTCCTTGGACAGAAGAGTATCACAGACTTTCCTGCCTGGGCTGGCTTGGAACCTCCTGAGTAGCTGGGATAACAGGCGTGAGCCAGCAGTGTCTGAAAATGTTCATCTCAGAGATCCACAGGACAGGGCATCATGGCCGCCTGCTCCGGGAAGTCCACCTTGATTTGCCCAATCCTATCTGCACACACAGCTCCTGGGTGACCGGAGGCCCTGGCCGCCTCCCGCCTGTGTCCTCATCTCTGGGGACAAGGACTCCCATGTTCCAAGGCCATTGTGATGAGGGCCCCAGGGGGCGTGTGACACGCTGCCTGGCTGTCTCCAAGCCACGGCCTCCAGGAGAGGCCCAGTTCCTCTGGGGACTGCAGCTCAGCCGACAGGAAGGTCACGGCCCCGCGGGGAGCAAGTGGAGACCATGACCACCCTCTCTCCTGAGAACAGCCTCTCCGCCCGGCGCTCCGCCTCCTTCATCTTGGTGTGTGCTTAAGATAAGGTCTTGCTAGGTGCTTGGTCTAGATCCTCCTACATCAGCCTCCCAAGTGCAGGGATTACAGGTCTGCACTACTACATCCAGGCTGCTGGGTCTCCTCCTCCTCCTCCTCCTCCTCCTCCTCCTCCTCCTCCTCCTCCTCCACTTCTGACCACCTCCATCTCCAGTGCCTGGTTTGCTCAGGGCTGGGTGAGCAGGCTAGACCCCTAAGTGAACATACAAGGAGGGGCAGGGTGGGTGATAGCTGGGTATCTCGGTCTTGCGATGGGCATCGGAACAGGGTGGAGGATGCCATCTTCCCTTCTGGTGACCCTGGAAGCTGGTGTGACCGTGTCCTTCCCGCTTGGTTGGGTCTGAGTTTTCCACGTTCATGCCCCACAGCTACTGATGGATTTTCTTTGGTGCTTTTGCCAACAATTTCAGCCTGCAGCCACTAGGTGGCAGTAACGCTTCAGTTAGTCGGATGTTACAGTTACAGAAAAACTTCCCACATAGCATTTGTGGGGTTCCCCCCTAAAATCATAATGACTAATTATAATGACCCTAAGTAATCTCAAACAATCACTGCGATTAAGATGCTAATCTTAATCCCGCCTGTAATCCTAGCTACTCAGGGAGGATGAGATCTGAGGGTCCAGGTTCGAAGCCAGCCTGGGCTGCAAAGTCCATGAGCATCTTACCTGCAATTAATTACAAAAAAAAAATCTTGGAAGGTGGAGCTGTGGCTCAAGTGGTAGAGCACCAGCCTTGAATAAAAAAGCTCAAGGATAGTGCCCAGGCCCGGAGTTCAAGCCCAAACAACAACAAAAATACACCCTAAATTCCAATAAAAGCCGGATGCTTCTAGAAGGGTCGGAATGGACTGTGTTGCAGGAGAAGAGAAAGCCCCCTATTGACAAGACAGAGTGGGACAGCTTCTTCGATGAGAATGGTCACTTGGCCAAGTCGCGGGACTTCATCTGTATCAACATCCTGGAAAGGGTGTGTTCCAGACCCCTCCGGCCTTGCCCTGGGATGGGGGCTGGGACATGATGGGGGGGAGGGGGGCCCCCAAGCCTGGCACCCTGAGGAGCAGGATCCCCATCGATCTCCATCCCCAGGGCCTGCACCCCTATGTGAGGACAGAAGCCTGGAAGTTCCTCACTGGCTACTACTCCTGGCAGAGCTCCCAGGACGAACGGCTCATAGTGGACAGCAAGAGGAGGTAGAACATTCTAGACCCCAAGCCTGCACTCAGCGGGTGCAGCCAGGTGTAGGCATGTATCCTCCTCACCCCAGCTCCATTAACCACCTCTGGAAAGTTCTCTTCTCTCCTAGCCCCTTGCCCTGTTCCTCCAGGGCTTTGGGCCTCTAGGCCTCTTCCTCCCCCCCTGTCCAGCCTCCATTTTCACCCAGAGCCAGTATGGAGCTGGTGATTTTGTGTCAATAGCTCATCTTCTCTTCCTTGGCCATTCAGCCACACCAGCTGCGCATAGGACACCCCAACTTCTCAGCCCCCTTCCCCACCCCACCCTAGTGCTGACCTCAGGAGGCTGAGATCTGAGGTTCGGGGTTTGAGGCCAGCCTGGGCAAGTAAATTAGGAGGTGGAGCTGCGGCACAAGTAATAGAGCATCAGCCTTGAAGGGGGAAAAAGCCCAGCAGGCACGGGCCAGCGTGGCCCTTATTTGACAGGTGAAGATGGGGAAACTGAGGCTGTAGCTGCAGTCATCTGCAGAGCCAGGATTGGGGTGCTGGGTGGGGGATGGAGGGCTTCACCTGATTGCACTCCAGGGCCAGCTGAGGCTGAGATGAGGGAATTTGCTCCATCTTGAACCCCGGGCTGGCTGCCCGGCGCCGCTCAGCGCCGCGCTGTGTTCACAGGAAGAATTATGAAGGCTTGTGCCATATGTACAAGAAGATCCAGCCACTGCTGGAGAATATGCACCGAAACTTCACCGAGACTCGGAACAACATTGGTGAGATGCGGGGGGGGGGGGCGGCCGGCAGAGGGAAGGACGGATGCCACTCCCCTTCCCTGCCCCATCGCCCCCTCTTCTGCCATTTCCAGGCATGGCTAACCATCTTGATTTGGGCCTGGAATTTTCCCAGCCTAACGTACCCTATTTGTGTTCATTCAGTCTCGCGTTCGCAAATACCATGCGCCCTTGCCCTTACCCTGTCTTCCTCTGGCTTTGAACTGGCTTGGATGTGGACAGGCCGGGGACTGTCACCTGGGTAAAAGGAAGGTTAAAGCCAGAGGTACCCATGGCTCACACCTGTCATCCCAGCTCCTCAGGAGGCTGAGATCTGAGGATCCTGCTTCAAAGCCAGCCTGGACAGGAAAGTCTGTGAGACTCATCTCCAGCGAAGCACCAGAAAACCTCACATGGAGCTGTGGCTCAAAGCAGTAGAGCGCCAGCCTTGAGTGGAAAAGCTCAAGGCTAGCGCCCAGGCCCTGAGTTCAAGCCTTAGGATTGGCCCAGAAAAAGAAAAGGAAAAGAAAAAGATGGAGCCAGTGTGGGGCGCTGGTGGCTCACGCCTGTCATCCTAGCTACTCAGGAGGCTGAGATCTGAGGATCATGGATCAAAGTTAGCCCAGGCAGGAAACTCCATGAGACTCTTATCTCCAATGAACCACCAGAAAACCAGAAGTGGCGCTGTGGCTCAAGTGGTAGAGCGCTCGCTTTAAGCAGAAGAGCTTCAGGACAGCTCCCAGGCCCAGAGTTCAATCCCCATGAGGGGGGGGGCGGAGGGAAGAGCCAGTGAAGGAAGGTGGGAAAAATCCCCAATAGCTGGAGCTGTGGGGCTGTTGGGCAGCGATCAGCTCCGACCTAGACCCTCTGCCAGAGGAGATACAGCCCCTCCCATACCTGTCCTTGCCCCCACCCTAGCCTATGACATCCAGAAACTGTACGACAAAGACCCAATGGGCAACGTTGTCATCAACAAGAAGAAACTGGAGAAGATCCTGCTCCTGAGCTACGTGTGCAACACTCAGGCCGGTGAGATGCGGACTGGGAGGAGCCTGCAGTGCTTATCTCCCCCACCCCCAACACCTAGGCCCTCCCCTTCCCCACCCTCCCCTTCCTCTGACCCCCCCCTCTCTCCTCTCCCCCTCCTTCTCCTCCCTCCTAACACAGAGTACCAGCACGGCTTTCACGAGATGGTGCTGCTCTTCCAGCTGATGGTGGAACACGACCACGAGATCTTCTGGCTCTTCCAGTTCTTCTTGCAGAAAACAGTGAGGCCAAGCTGGGTGGACCCTTCACCCCCATTCCCCATTCCCCCATCAACCAGCCAGGCCCACCCACCTCCTCCAGCACCCAGTCTCTGGGTCAAGTGGGGGAGATGGCTGGTAAGGGGGAGGGGTCTAGAAGGGATGAGGGGGTAAGAAGGTGTCCCCAACCCAAACCCTGCTCCGCTCCCTGCTGTCCCCTCTCCATACCCCCACTTACCCCCCCCCACCTTTTGTCATTCCTCTATTGCACCCTAGGCCTCCAGAGTCAAATCTAATAGCTTTTGGGGCACAGGTGACTCACGCCTATCATCCTAGCTACTCAGGTGGCTGAGATCTGAGGATCATAGTTCAAAGCCAGCCAGGGCAGGACAGTCCTTTTTCATAGAAAAAGCTGGAGGGGGAGCTGTGGCTCAAGTGGTAGAGTGCCAGCGTTGAGTAAAAAAGCCAAGTAAGAAAGGGAGGCCCTGTGGCTGGGAAGGTGGCTTAGTGGTAGAGTGCTTGCCTAGCATGCATGAAGCCCTGGGTTCAATTCCTCAGTACCACATACACAGAAAAAGCTGGATGTAGCACTGTGGGTCAATGGTAGAGTGCTAGCCTTGAGCCAAAGAAGCTCAGGGACAGTGCCCAGGCCCAGAGTTCAAGCCCCAAGGACTGGCAAAAAAAGAAAGTGAGGCCCTGAGTTCAAATCCTAGCACCAACACACACACACACACTCACACTCACAAACACACAGAGACCTGTGCTCATGCAGACACAGAGCCCTCCAGAGTTGGGGTTGGGAGAAATAGGACTGGGTACACAGGCCTCAGTTTCCCTCCCTGTCCCGTGCAGGAACACAGCTGCGTCATCAACATCGGGGTGAGCAAAAACCTGGACATGCTCAACCGCCTCATCAGCTTCCTGGACCCCCTGTTCGCCGAGCACCTCAGTGAGTGACCCCACCCCAGGGGGCCGCAGGTGCAGCACCGGGAAATGGGAGTCACTGGGCCCCGCCGGGGCATGGGGACCACTGGCTGGGCACCGTGAATGTCCATCCAGGTCCGGCTGGGCAGGTGGTCAGGGGCAGCCGTGGCTTTCCCACATCCTGTGCATCCCGGGCTCCAGGGTACATGGTGGGCTGGGCCTCTCTCCTGCCGACGCCAGCCTGGCATTGCCTGTCTCCCACAGAGGGCAAGGGCGCAGGCACCGTGCAGTCTCTCTTCCCGTGGTTCTGCTTCTACTTCCAGAGCGCCTTCAAGTCTTTCGAAGATGTCTGGAGACTCTGGGAGGTGAGGCCACAGCTGAGCATGGCCCAGGCCTAGAATTCAATGACTTCCTTCCTTCCTTCCTTCCTTCCTTTCTTCCTTCCTTCCTTTTCCTTTCCTGCCCTCCCCTCCCTTCTTTTCTCTTTCCCCCCTTCTCCTCCTCCTCCTCCTCTTCTTCTTCTGATTCTTTCTTCTTCTTTTGTTAGTTGTGGGGCCTGAGAACTGTCCCTCAGCTCTTCAGCTCAAGGCAAGTGCTCTACCACTTGAGCTACCACTTCTGGTTTTCTAGTGGTTCATTGGAGATAAGAGTCTCCCATCCTTTCCTACCCGGGCTGGCTTTGAACCATGATCCTCAGATCTCAGCCTCCTGAGTAGCTAGGATGACAGGCATGAGCCACCAGCGCCTGGCCTTTTCTTCTTTTTGTATGAATGTTCCTGGAGATTGGAACTCAGAGCCTGGCTCTGCCTGGAGGTCTGCTGACTCCAGCCTTCCCGGAGTCCTTTAGTTTGTAGTTTAGTTTTGTAGCTAGGGTTTCACATTTTGGGCCCAGGTTGACCTGGGGCCACAATTCTCCTACCTCTGCCTATGATGTAGCTGGGACCACAAGTGTGTATCACCATACCTAGCTTGTTTGCTTTCTGGTTTGGTTTGGTTTCGGTACTGAGACGAAGTCAGGTCCTGGGCACTGTCCATTAGCTTAAAAAAGCTCAAGGCTGGCGCTCTACCATTGAATCTGAGTTTCTCTTCTGGTTTTTATTTCTGATTCACTGGAGATCCAATTCTTTGTTGTTGGTGGTGGTTGTAGGGCTTGAACTCAGGGCCTGGGCGCAGTCTCTGGGCTTTTTTGTTCAAGGTTAGCGCTCTACCACTTTGAGCCACTTCAAGTTTTCCAGTTAACTGGAGATAAGAATCTCCTGGATTTTCCTGCCTGGGCTGGCTCATGACCCTCAGATCTCAGCCTGCCAAGTAGCTGGGATTACAGGCGTGAGCATCAGCACCCAGCTTCCCCTAAGGCCTTTTATCTCCCAAGCCCACTGTTTCCAGCACCAACGCCACGGGTACCCTATATGAGCACTTTCATAAGCGAATGAATGAATGGGGTCAGCACCTGGGCCTAGGGTTGGAGGGAGGCTAGTCATCCCGAGGACAATCTGAGATCACAGGATCCTGGCTGAGGACCACCTGTCCACAGGTCCTGCTGACCGGGAAGCCGTGCAGAAACTTCCAGGTGCTGGTGGCTTACAGCTTGCTGCAGATGGTGCGGCAGCAGGCGCTGCTGGAGAGCATGAGCGGAGATGCCATCCTCCTGGTGAGCGCCACGCCCCCGCCGCAAGCCACGCCCCCGACGGACAAAGGCCACGCCCCCAGAGACCACGGCCCCGTGAAGCCTACAAGCCACGCCCCCGATGAACACAGGCCACGCCCGCAAAGACCGCAGGCCACGCCCCCAGAGACCACGGCCCTGTGAAGCCTCCAAGCCACGCCCCCAGAGACCATTGGCCACGCCCGCAAAGGCTACCGACCACGCCCATGCATATCACAGATCACGCCCCCGCCACAGGCCACGCCCCCGGAGACAATTGACCACGCCCATAAAGGCCACCGGCCACGCCCCCAGAGCACGGGTCACGCCCCTTAAGTCCTCTGGGCCTGATACCTCAGCCCGTCTCAGGGGCATGGAGGGCGGGTGGTGTACACACACCATCAGTGCATGCACACGTATACACGGAGGCATGCGTGTGTGTTCATGTACACGCGATTGCACGTGAGCGTGTGTGCTTGCACAGGCATCGGTGCACGCGCATGCACGTGCACATGTGCTCTGCGCACATGCGAACACTTCGGCACCTGTGTGTGCACGTGTGTTCGCGCGCATCTCTGTCTTCCTCGCAGGCCTGCAACAGACTCATTGACCTGGATGCCGACCAGCTGATCTCCGACGCCTGTGTGGTTTATGCTGAGCTTTTCCAAAAGGAAGTGAGCTGCCCAATGATCTGTCCTCCCTCCCCCCTGTCCCTCCCCCCTGTCCCTCCCTCCCTCTTCCTTCTCCTCCCCCTCCTCCCCATCCCCAATCCTTCCCCCCCCCCCCCCCCCCCCCGCATTCCCAGCGTCCTTCCAAGGGTCTGATCGCTCCTCACACTCTCCTCTTCCCCAGGTACCTCAGGCATTAAAGGATTTCTTTCTCTGAGGACCAGGACAATGCAGTGGACAGGATGAAGAAGGTTCTGGATACAGGGTCTGATGGGACACTGGGGTGAAGGTGTAATACAGAGCAGTAGAACCCGTTGTGGCGTGCCACTTTGTGGGGGGATCTGGGCCCCCACGAGTCAATGGCTATGGGTAGGACTGACTTGCAGAACCTTCCAGACTTGCCTACTGGTCATTAGTGGATCCTTGGGACTCAGGTGGGAGGGGAGGCTGCCCTGGCCTTTGTCTCCATCCCTAGGCCCCCTCTTATTTCCCACACCATAGTCACATGGGGTTGAGCTGGCCCTCCCTCTGCCCTTGTCCAGACAGACAGCCTCTCCCGCCCCCAGGCCATGCCCAGCCCCAGGCCTCTGCCCCTGCCTGCCCCAGGCTCTGTGGGGAGCCCTCTGGGGGAGCCAGAAAGAATGGCAACACCCTGATTCTTGGGGGTCCACCCACTCCGCCATTCTCCAACCAATCACCCTCTCCCACTCCCTTCCTGTTACTCCCTCCAAAGGCACTGTGTCCCCAGTTAGTGTCCCCCTCTAGGGTGACAATCTCCCATCCCTGCCTGGCCCCTGGAATATGGGCACTGGGGAACAGATCCCAAGCCCACACAGCGTTATCTCTGGGTGGCTAAGGACCTAGTATTTGCTAGGCCGCAAAGACTTGTGGGTAAATGCAAGGTCTCCTTTGATTTTATGTCCCAATGCAGTGCATTGAAATCAAGGCTCCTGAAGAGAAAATGACTGTTCTCCAAGAACAAATCTGTGTTGTAAGGCATTTTGCTGAGCTTCCTCTGGCCTTGGGAAGAGAAGAGCAGAGAGAATGATCCCATGAGCATTTGTTCTTAAGGTTCTTTTGGCCAGGTAGCATTAGAGGGGTCTGTAAATTGTGGTTGAGATATAATTGCCAAGTATCTATTACAAAACTACCAGCCTGGAGCCTGTGGTTCACGCCTGTCATCCTAGCTACTCAGGAGGCTGAGATAGGAGATTTGCAGTTCAAAGCCAGCCTGGACAAGAAAGCCTGTGAGACTCTTATCTCTAACTAACCAGAAAAAAAAAAAAAAGAAGAAGCTGGAAGTGGAAATGTTGGCCCTGAGTTCAAGCCTCAGTACCAGCATCAAAAAGAAAAAAAGGAAGGAAGGAAGGATGAAAGGGGAAGGAAGGAAGGAAGCAAGCAAGTAAGCTAGCAAAGGAGACTCTCTTTAGGAAATTAATAAGAACCCAAATCTCAAGCGCCTAACCTTCACCTGCAGTGATATGCAAATGGTGACCAAACACCCACAGTGCCGTATTCAGAGGCTGGGAGCTAATGAGATGCAAATGTATGTGAGCATTATGCAAACGAGAACAGCCCTGGATTAATGGCTTCCATCCTTCAACCAGACAGCTGTCTCTTTAGAAACCAGCCTCGCCGACAGGGTGGGTTGAATAACACCCATCAGAAGACTAGCCCACCCAAATTTCTCCTAGCAGGATGTCTGTACAGCCCCTCCTCTTGACCTGAGAGCTGAGCCTTCACCCGGGTGCACCTGTCTGCCAGCCAATCAGCGTCCTGTTCTGTGACTGGGCTCCTGCTCCAAGTTGCAGGTTCAATGCTTGGTCCCGAGCTGTGGATGGTGGTGGGCATGGGGAGGTACTGGTCTAGCAGGGACAATGATCAAGGCTGTAAGGAGAGTAGGGGTGGTTAGAGTCTTGATGAGGAGAGGAATGGCACCAGAGTATTATTAGTTCAGGATTCTCCAGAGAGACAGAACCAATAGAGCATTTGTATAAAATGGGATTTACTAGAAAGATTTGTAGCTAAGTCCCATGGCTGGCCCATCCACAGGCTGGTAGCATGCTCCCAGCTCCCTGGAGGTCAGATACCCCACAGAAAGAATCCAGCTTTTGGAAGAGAGACCAATGGTTACCTCTGGGTTTGTCACTTCTGAGCGTAATTAGGTGGCATCCACCTATCTGTATTGATGGCCAATCTTCTCCACACACCTCACTTGGACACATACCTGCTCATCTCCTGAAAACAACCTTACACACTGGAAACAACTGCACACACACTAAAAATGTGCCTCTGCATTCCCACTGCCATCAAGCCAATCACCAAATGTAGCCATCACAGCTAGAAAATACCACAGGAGTCAGGTATACCATTATGATTTGTTCTCGAAGCTAAGAAACAGGAGCAGAACCAGGCATCGGTGGCTTATGCCTGTAATCCCAGCTATTCAGGAGGCTGAGATCTGAGGATCATGGTTCGAAGCCAAGCCTGCACAGAAAAGTCCCCATGAGACTCTTATCTCCAATAAACTACTCAAAAAGGCCAGAGTGGCGCTGTGGCTCAAGTGCTAGAGCGCTAGCCTTGAGTACAAAGAGGCTCAGGGACAGTGCTTGGGCCCTGAGTTCAAGCCACACGACTGGCAAAAAAAGAAAGAAAAAGAAAGAAAGAAAGAAAGAAGCAGTAGCAGAGGATTTCTCCTGGGACCTGTGGCAGTTGGGTGACCCTGCAGTCATGAAATGCACCCTTGGAGAAGCAGGGCATGGTGGCCCAGGCCTGTAATCCCAGCTGCTCAGGAGGCTGAGATCTGAGGATCATGGTTTGAAGCCAGTCTGGAAGAGGAAAGTTTGTGAGACACTTACCAGCAAAAAGCTGAAAGTTGTGGTTTCAATGGTAAAGTGCTAGCCTTAAGCAGAAATGTTCAGGGACCACAGCCAGGCCATGAGTTTAAGCCCCAGGAGCACAGGAAGGATGGAAAGAAAGGAGGGAGGGAGGGAAAAGAAAAGGAAAAAGCATCCTTAGAATAATTGGCTGCACTTGCACATGGCAGCCTGCAGGGGGTGCTGGGCCTCCTCCACCAGCACGGAGCTCTGGCTGGGCTGCCTGGGTCAGAATTGCTCTGGATGGAACTAGAAGGAATCCACCCTCTGGATGCAGATTTTCTGTAAAGGTAACTGTGGGGTGGGGGGTAAATGGGCAGTTAAGGCATGGGGGACGCGTCTCTTGCAGCCTCCAGATCTCATGGGCACTAAGGACCATGCTCAGCTTCTTTCAGTAACACACATGGGCCAGCCTGCACATGCATGCAGCACACACACACAGACACACACACAGACACATACACATCTGGGCCTGGTAAGGGCAGGATGTGTGGCATGCTGGTCTTGGTGTGGGCAGCAAGCACTTAGGTTGGGAAGAAAATGGTGGGGGGAGGAGGGAATCTCATTCTGCCACTTCCTGTGATTGGCCTCAGGGACAGACTGGGTCTAGCATGGGGCCTCCGGGCAAGACGTCTGCAAGGAGAAGCTGGTAAAGGGCTTTGGGATTGGTGGTCCAGGAGTCCGGGTGTGTGGGGGGGGTCCTCTCTGCCTACCTAGGGCAGGGGTAAGCCTAGCACTCAGCAATTCCCAGGGCTGAGGAACGGTGTTCAAAGGAGACAAGGCAAACTTGAGAATCACAGACACACCCTGCCCCCCCCCATTATAGCAGCAGGGTCCTTGGGCCTTGTGCACACGCCACCTGTCCTGGAGCCCAGGGGAAAACAGCCCCAAAGAGAGGCAGCATAGAGAAGAGGCTCATAGTCTAAAACAAATCAAGACCTAGGCTGGTTCAAGGCCAGCTTGGGGAAAAAAAAAATAGAGACCCAATCTCAACTGATAAGCTGGCCAGGATAGTCTATGTCTGTAGTTTCAGCTAAGAGGTGGTAGGTCGGAGGATCACAGTCCAAGGCTGTCTGGAACCTGACTTCCTCCCCTGGAACTGCCTTGAACCTTAGGTTCAAGGCAGTTCCATCCAACGACTCTGTGTGTGTGTGTGTGTGTGTGTGTGTGTGTGCCCCACAAAGCTGCCACAATCCCTCCCCTCCCCTCCACGGGCCTCTGGGCTAAAAGGTCTCCTTGTCCTCAGAGGACACCCAGTCCTGCCACTAGAAAGGCTTTATGAGTCACGCCTGTAATCCCAGCTACTTAGGACCTGGCTGAGGTCTGAGGATGGTGGTTGGAAACCAGCTTGGGCAGAAAAGTCCATGAGACTCTTAATCCCCAGTTAACCACTAAAAAGCCAGAAGTGGAAGTGTGGCCCAAGGGGTAGAGCACTACAAAGACTGCCCTGGCCCTGAGCTGCTGGCCTTTTGCTGGTTCATTGGAGATAAGAGTCTCAGGGACTTTCCTGCCCAGGCTGGCTTTGAACCGTGATCCTCAGATCTCAGCCTCCTGAGTAGCTGGGATGACAGGGGTGAGCCACTAGCCCATCCCCTCTCAGTGACGTCACCTTTCAGATCCATGCAGCTCCAAGCAGAACGGCTTGTCTCTCTTGTGGTACATCCCCTGGGCCGCCCCCCTCCTGCTGTAAGCATCTGTCCGCCGCCATCCGCTTTCATCCCCCCCTCACCATGCAGCTAGGTCTTCTTGGTTTTTTTTTCTGCCCCCCCCCATGATGTCAAGCTTGGGGGTCTAGTCTTTTGGAAAAGCAGGGGCCTTCTCTGCCTCCAATCAATCCATCGAAGCCTTGCAGAATGGGATGGCACCAAGCAGATCTGCGGCTCCCAAACAGGTGGATAGAAGGGCAAGATGGCGGCCCAGGGGCTTGCTATGCTCACTCTGAATCAGTGCAAGCTGGAGTGCCAGCCCCCCCCCTTACACACCATCGATCCAAGTGTGGCAGTGACACACTGTCCCCCTGCAGGCCCACCCCCTCTGTGTGCTTTCCCTGGCTTGGACAACGCCACCATTTTCCGGGCCCCTGGAAGCTTCCATCCTTTTCCGAGATCCTCTAGTCTCTATTTTCTCCCTCGTTCTCTCTGTGACTGGGACCCCGCTGGTTTCTTTTCTTTTCTTTTTTTTGGTCCGGTCATGGGGCCTGAACTCTGGGCCTGGG